ACCCTTTTTGAATCACACAGCAAATACACTGAACATGTTTTAAAGCTAATCGCAACTGCAATGAGACTTTTATTGTCAGTGTACAATTTCAAGACACATTTGGGCATCTGAAAGACTACTAGCAACTACAACCGAGTCAGCACTTCGTCAATTCCCGTGCTGGATGTTTTTTGGCTATTAGTTTAACTCATCAACTCTTAAACCACAGGCAAGTTATATGACAAGAACAAGTGTCCAAAGAATACAAAAGGTAAAGTTTATACTGAACAAACGTAGTACCATCCCTCTTTAACTAACCTGTCTATAACAAACAGGCTCCACTTCCAACAATGACAGATAATCACCTCTGGCTACAACCTCAAGTTATGCAAGATCTATTTGATTTAGGAGGCTTTCAGTTATTCTTACTACCATGTATTATTGCTATGTTTGGCAACTTCTCCATATTTTGAAACACAGGGGTTCTTAACAAGTATTAAATGCACGGTTAAAATCTGAGCATAAATAATTCGCAACCTTAATAAGCAACATTTGGTGGACATAAATCCTAGGTATTCTTTGGAGAAACTCCAGGTGCTCTTACCCTAGCTAGCACATCCTTCACCACTATCCACTACTGCACACAACGGCTCAGACTGCTTTTTACTATGTACTTATTCTGCACACCTGCTTAAAAATCAAAGCACTGTTCTCAAAAATCATTAAACTTACTACTTCATTTTAATTAAAAAGTTTTACAAGCACAAAATTACTGAAACCACGTGTCTATATTCAGTCAGTAAATGTTTAACATACAAGAGATTAGAACAATTGCTAACCTCTAAGACCAACAATTTAATACACTCTTCATCTACCACACTTTTCTTGATAAGCAATTAAGGCATTCATCTTTTATACGCATTAAGAAGAGTGTATATTATGTCCATAAAAGTGAATTGCCTGGAGGGAAGGGGCAGGGGGGAAGGCATGGCTTTTGAAGAGAGGTAACTAACCCTTGTTCACTAGCACTAAAACACAGAATGTCATTCACATCACTGTGATCTGTGGAAGACAGCAAAGGACACTCCAGCAGCCAGTCTTGCAGATGCAAGATTTTTAGGCTCAGGTAATCAATCTTCATTGTGCACCATATACGTAAGCATGCATACATACGCATACACACACACACAGAGACACAAACACACTTGTAACTGGCAAGCAATTTGAAGTCTACCCTTGGCAAGAGTAACTAACCATTTTTCACCTTGCCTAGCCTGAAAATATAAACCTGCCTTCTCAAGATGTCCCAAGAGCTATCACATTCCCAGCTGCAGACCGATAGCAGACCAATAAACCTTGTTACAGATAAAACCACTGGATTTCTGTCCTCCTCCACCCCAAAGGATGAAGAAGTATGTCATCAGCCCCATCTCCTGACCTGTGTTGTGAAGCTGTGCATCCAGTCTAGGGGCACTCAAAGGAGGCAGCATCCTGTGGGCCTTACAGTGTATTGTGATCTTAACTGTTTCTAGCGCTTTGACTGTGACATGATTATTAGAACCCTTCAGATCCACGTGTGCCATATTCACTGCCAACAAGGGTTAAGTATGAGAACACAGGGGTCTTCTGGGATTTGCCAGAGGAACAAATCACATTGCAAGGGCTCTAGGAGCAGAGGGATGCAGGCTACTATTTTTAGGGAATGGCAATCACATCCTTTTGAGCACCTTACTTCTAGTTTTCACCACTTCTGACTTTTGTCACCTAAACATCTATTATCAGCCAAATTTCAGTAGTAGCCAACTATTGGTAATATTGGATAGTGGAGAGAGGCTTGACTGAAGGTAGTACAGTTTACTGAAAGTAGTACAGTTTACTGAAAGTAATATTTGTTATTCCATTTTAAAGAGTGTTTGTTTCACTTTCCCCAGGCATTCGTTTGACACATACAGCCTAAATGGATGACTGCATGCCTCAGAGGGACAACACATCTAGGTGAATACTTTCGTAGTCTTAAAAAAAAGTCATTAGCCAACTGTGCATCTCAAATGATGGTCTAGGTTAATAAGCAAAGGGCCTTACATGCTGTATGCCCTTCACTGCAGTTATTTAAATTCCTGCAGCACAGTGAGCAGCTGTTGTCTTTACAGAGGTATAAACTATGCTGCAAGGTTTTTATAAACCATTCATGTACAAAATGACTGAAAGACTGCAAGCCAATCGGATACATTCCAAAAACAGCAATTTAGTTTTCTAGAACAGAGACTGTAAAAAGCTGAACTTATAAATTTATTTTGCAGGGGCAGCAAACTTTGTCATTAAATCACTGCAGGATTCAAATAAGATGGTTATTTTGGGGTTTAGTTTTGGGGTTTTTTCCCCCAGAGAAAGAACTCCTATTGAACAGAAAAGCACGAACAATTTGGAAATGTCAGGAAGGAATAAACTGAGGCCACAAATACTCCCTAAGAAGTGTTTCTGCTTATTACCATTTAAGAAACTTTAAGAAAATCAGAATTAATCTGCATCTATTACTGAAAATCTAACAATTCTTCAACAGACACCTAGGTTTGTAAGGGGATTGCAAGATTTTCAACAAAATATAGGACTTCTAGGTACCCATATCCACAGACAACTAGAATACAACTAGCAAAACAGAATGCCTTTTGGTAATAAACACAGCTTAATAAGAATTAACAAGTCACTAACTGTTACGCTCCCATGCCAATATTTAAAAGACAATCAGAATCCATAGCAAGTAGCTGTCGTTAAAGAATGAAACTTATCTTGCCAAATTAAGACTTCCTTCATCTTGAAAAATAAATGCCTAAACTTCTGCTTCCTACTAGGATGCTACCATCCTGCAACAAAATACTTTTCCCATGGACAGCTTCCTTCTAGGGAAGGAAAAAAAGCAACCACCACCAAAAACCTAACCCAGCAATAATGTAACAGCCAAGATCTTAGTAGCCATCATCCCTTCATTAAAAAAACCTGCATGGAGCTAATTAACTTCCTCTTCTTTAGAGGGATTATGGACCTCTCAAAACAGCTTCTTGACTCTTTCAAAGTACGGCTGATGAAGGAAGGGACTGAAATATATGTTGGAAACTATAATGCACAGATCATATCTCAAGCCTAAACCTTTATCTACTTGCTTTCTAATTAACCACCACCTTTTGTTACTCTGTTTTATCTCTAATTATGAGATATTTCTCCAAGTTTTACTACTTTACACTTCTACTGGTTATAGATAAAGTGTTGAACTTCGTATTAACCCTGAGTATTTAAAAGAAAGATTATGGGGGAGGAAAGAAAAGCAAGACCCAAAATTAGTTCTCAAATCTTAAAGACAATTCTGGCAAACAAACCAAAGCAAAACATCCATCCAATAACTGACTGACCAGAATTGCTGACAAATTCAGCATGGTACTAACTCCCTTTATCCCACGCAAAAGGGATGTGTCATAAATGCCACAATCCAAAGTTTTCTGAAACAAATGAAAAATGAACACCAACAATCTTTTCAACAGTTTGAAGCTAGTGCCAGTACGCACTTGTGATACAACCTTCTGATATTCGTGCGCCAGACACAAATAATCGAGAACTAGAACACCCTGAATTCCTGCAGCTTCCACCAAATTAACTGAAATCTCTGCACCTAGTGTTCAGAACACCCAGCATCTCTGCAAGCTGTTGAACAAAGATAATGTCACTCCATTCTTTTGTGGAAGCACTGAAAAAAAAACCCAGAAAAAAAACAATAAAAAACCCCACCAAGCAACACTTCAACAAGGCAAACGTGTTATACATAGGAATTCATAGCACAGACAAAAAGGAACAATGTCTTCTTTCACATTAAAGGGACAAAACATTAGACTACTTATAGAGATTCAGGCAGCTGCTGAGAACGTCTTAGCAGCTCTTGTATTTGCAAGAAAAACCCTGTTAGTCGAAAGCAAAACAATTTTGCCATTTAAATAAGTGAACTAACTGTACAAGCATAAAACAGCCTCTTTTGTAATCCCAAAATTAAAACATGAATCCAAATTCCTGAAGGAAAAAAGGATATTACTCCAACAGCACTACTTTGAACTTGTAACAACAGAGCCAAACCACAGACCTTCACAAGTGATCGACTGCTTCAGTAAGTTAAAATACCACAAAGTATCTGCAGGAAAGAACTCTGCCAGAGCAAAAGCAGGTGATGCAGACAGTAACATTTCCAAATCCTAAACAGGCCATCCCAGACAGTTGGTACCCAGTCCTACCTTCCCCAAAGTAATGCTCATGCTGTTTTGCAATCAATCAACCAGTTCTCCTCTGGCAGTTCTGACAGACAGCCTTTACGGCAGAGATCAGCCCCTCGCTTACAGACCCATGTCTCCTCAGTAACACCTTCACTCCAAGCGTAAGATTTCAGTGTCTTCCCGCAAACCTGAAGGAACTAGGCTCTAATTAACGCTCAGACAGAAAAGGGGGAGGGAATAAAAAAAGTGGGGCTTTATTGTTGCAGTTTAAAAACGAGAAGCATAAAGAAAAAGCATGCTTCCAGCCCCTGCCTAAAGCTACACTAACAAAACAGAGAGAGGAAAAATAAAACCCAAACAAGGAAACAGATTATATAGGTTAAGCTCAGCTTTTACCCTCCGCTGCGAGGTCCAGCTAAGCAAACATCGAGCTCCCGGACGGACGGACGGACGGCCTGCTCCCGGCCGGGACCGAGGCGGCGGCGGCGGCAGCAGCAGTAGTCCGGCCCGAGCCGCCCGCTCCGAGAGGCCCCGCCGCCACGTCCCCCTCATGGAGCCAGTGGGGGCCGTAACGCTTTCCGCCCGTGTGAGGAGGAAGCCGCTTCCTCACGCTTCTGAGGGGAGCCAGGCTGCGGCTAGAGGAAACGGCGCGGCCCGCCCGCGCCACCGCCGCTGCCCCAGTGCCACGGGATCCTTGTACGTCCTCTCAGTCCCATCCCTTCCCGCCCCGCCGGGACGCAAGAGAGGCGGCGGGGCCGCGGGGCTACTTACCCGCCTTGTAGCCGCGCAAGCCGAGCTGTGGGTGCAACCCGCCCCACATGGTGCCGCGCCGGGCCGGGGGAAGGAGGAGGGGGGCCGCAGTTCTTCGGCAGCGGCAGCAGCGGCGGTGCGGAGCTGCGCGCTCTCCCGCGTCCCCGGCGCAGATGGCCGGCGGAGGCGGCCGCTCCCGAGGAAGGTTAGCGTGGGGCCGCGGGCGCGGTGGGGGCTGCTGCCTGCCCCAGAAACGCCGCAGCCATGGTGCCGAGCCGCGACCCCCTCGCAGGAGACGAAACTTGCTCTAGTGCGCTGCCACCGCCTGGCTCTCGAGCGGGGCGGAGACAAGGGGGGGGAGCCCCACAGATGCTGCTGCCGCTGCTCAGGGACAGGCCGCTTACATAACCCAGCCCACGAGGAGGGAGCCGGGGCGGGGGCTAATCAGCCCAGCCCTGCCCCCGGCCCCCAGCCCACGGCCTCACGGGGGGCGGTGGGGCGGTGGGGCGGTCACGGCGCCCACGGCGCCCACGGCGCCCAGCTCAGGCCCCGGAGGGACTGCAGGGGTGGTTTGACCACTTACTCGTCCGCGCTCCCCCCAAGGCTGTCCAGCGGGACCCCAACCTCCTGCCCGCTGGATCGGGGAAGGGACCCGTTAGTAACGGCGTGTAACTGTCAGCAGGGAAACGCCTAATGGAAGGCACTTCATTTGGTATAATTGGTAAGGAAAAGTGAGATGCCTTACTCCAGAATTACGGCATTTGAGGTTCACAAGGCAAGTAGGTTACATACTTAGCAGAGTTCATAAAATAAGAATTTACCAGTACTTTGTTTGAGTAAGAAAATGAAGTGGAAAGAAAGAAGTATCATAACATAATTTCAGTGATGAGTTCCACCAAAATACCCTCAGTGTCATCATACAGTTTAAGCCACAGGACTGGAAATAAAATGCTCCCGTCAGCGATAATTCAAACACAGTAAGAGGCTCCCCTCTCCCCTTACCACAAGCGGCTTTGAGTTTGGTCCAAGTACTTCAAGAGATACTCTGCAATAGCAGCCTTCATGTTACTGTTGTTTGCAACGCAGCCCAATGGTCCCCATTCGAAAGTGACTTCTGAACAAGTGTACCCTGACTCAATCAGCAATCCACATTATCAGACAAAAACATGAAGAGAAGGAGAAAATAACTTGGATAGCTTCCAGCTTCACTGTAACTATACCAAAATTACAGAAGCCACCACCACCAAGATACAAAAAGCAGTGCGTTGCAGAGTGATGGACATGACAGCTTAGGGAGGTGAGGTGAAACAGGAGCAGTTCTGTGTTCGTGTGGAAATCTTCACAGTCAATAAATCTGTGTTCAAGCACTTCCTGCTGACCCAATGCATTTTTAATTGGTAGCTGATGATCACTGAATAGCTTTTATCTCCTTGGAAAGTTATATGTTATGTTTCAGCACAGGTCATATTTTATTTATGCCTAGGTATTCAGAACGTACTCTGTAAAAGGCCACAGAAGTACTTGCATGAGCAAGTAGAAATGCTGTACATTGTTATGTTGTCCTCTCTCTTATCCATATAAAGCCCTTACGTGCTCACTGAAGACCTGACACAATGTAAATTCCTCACCAGCTTGTTTTAACTATGGAGCATAGCTGTCGCTAGGTGTTTTGTAGGCGAGTTGTAGAAATACAGGCTTTTAGAAGTTAGTAAATCCTGAGTAAAGAAACAAATACTAAAACTCCTGGAGATCCCATCAAAACCTTCAGGCTGTTGCTAGAGGTCCTCTGAATGATAATAGTTTACATTTTACTGGTTTACAGTAAAGACCAGGAATCTAGGTTATTGTTGATAACACCTTAATGAAGCTGTGCAGCCTGAAGTCAGCTTCAATGTTGAACAATGATTGTGAGAGAAAGCATGGTAGGTAAACCAATATAAGAACAAAATATAAGAACAGAAAGAGCTAAAGTACCTTGCAACACAGTCAAGACCAAGAAATATGTAAACAGGCTAGTTCAAGACCTGTTTAAAGGAGTTGCCTGTGTGTAACATTTGTGGCATACTGTTTTGTTGGATAAGCATATGTACTTTGCATATTTACATGGGGACACGGTGAGCTGTGAGGAAGCTGAATATCAAGAAGGGGAAGCCATTTAGCAGCAGGTGAGGAGCTGCTGAGCTCTGGAGTTTGTGATGCTGCCCTGTAATGAAGCAGCAAGCATCTAAACGCGTATCATGACCCCAGAAAGTGGCATATCTGGAAAGAGTGTGATAGCAGCTCTTCATCTCCTAGTAAATGTCACTGCAGTGTTTCTATGTACCTCAGTATTACATGTTCATGGAAGCTTTACAATTCCCTTTGTAACTCCTCAGGAATAACACCAGAGAGGAAAAAAAAAAATAAAAACCACACAAATGGGTAAAAAGGCCAAGATGAGTGTGGCAGAGCATACACAAGCTGTGTGGCTGAATCACCTCTGACAGCAACACCGTGTCTTCTAAAGCGTCCCTGCTGGGGCATCTGTGCTTTGACAGTGCTGCTGCTCAGAGCAGAAAAAAACCCAAACATACTTAGATTTAAGCAGTCAGATAAGAGAACTAGACACATTCATCCTCTTGTCCCACCTACAAGGCTCCACTGTTCAGGAGTGGTGGGTAGTAACTGGGTCCAGCTGCACCTAGTGAAGCTAAGCTACACTAAGATGAGTCACATTGGCTTATCACCTCTTACATCTCCTAGGTTAAGAATCAGGAGTGTAGAAGTCTGTGTTCCAGAGTTTGGGACTGTTCCAGTCTGTGCGCTGCTCAAGAGGGGTGTAAAGGTCTTGATATTCCTAGAAAAGGGAAGAATGGTGCAAGAGAAAACTCCTGTAACTTTACACGTGAATCAATGGTAAGTGGAAACAGCCCACATCCCCAAGTAATTGCTGCGAGCTGTGATGCTCCAGACAAGGAATGGGCTCAAGTTCTTATTGTCTGAAAAGTCTTCTCCTCACCTCTTTCTTCTGACACGTACTCCACCCTCTTGGCAGAATAAACAAAGAAAAGTAACAACTGAAAGTAACAGCTTAAGTAAGCACTGGCACTAGGCAGATGCTGTCTCATTAAGGTCAGTTGCAGCACAACTTACCCAAGGACTTGTGGTCTATTTCCAGGTTCAGAAATTACATTTTTTCCTCCCGAGTAAAAATATGATGCTCTAAACAGAATTAAGCTGAAGCATAACCTCTGAAAACCACATTTTTCTGTGATTAAAGCCAGAAATGTGTTCAATATTCATTATATACACTTGCTTTCTCATTTAATAGAATTAAAAGATTAGTACAAAAAAACCCAAATGTTAAATACCTAAACACTGTTCTAAGAGAATGCAGACTATTTCCCCTATCTAATTAAGAAATCAAGCATGTGTGCATTCTATCAAAAAAGCAACAGTGATATTTCTGTAAGCACATCTATATTGCAAATGACTTTGAAATTAAAATCACAAATTTTCAGTTCTTGAGTTGTTTTCACTGAGTACAGAAATCCTTTTCCTCCACCCACAACTTTTCCAGTTGAACACTGTGTCCTAGCAAAGTCTAAGCAGCCTTTGAGAAGCCTTAGAGAATTTCCTCCTTATTTGCAAAAAAAAAGGAAAAGTAACTATGGATGTTACAAAGCAAGATGCTAAACAGCATTGGGTGGCACTACAATTAAGAGCAGATTAGCTTCCCTAATAAACTGCATCCCTTCTGGTAGGGGCATGTTGGCCTACAGAACACTGAAATGTTCCACTAAAAGTACATTGTGTGCATTGTGCACAGCATTAACAATAAACTGTATCACCTAAGAGCTGCCAAGCACGCACCATGAAATAACAGGGTGCATGCAGTGTGGGGTTTTTTTTGCCTACTGTACAAGGTAATGAAAGCACACATCTTTCACAAAGGAACACAAATTGATACCGATTTGAATCACTTTGTGGCATGTTTTCAGTAATAGCTTATACCATGGGAGTAAATCAAACCAAGCAGCTTGTTGTTACCATAGCTATGGTTTATTACCAGTCCCTGAAATTTCAGATTCTTCTTAATGTTCCAGATATCAGAATCAGATTTTCACCTGAGAAATTACTGACATAACTGCTAGAAGACCCTTGGGAATCAAAGGTTTCACATGGCTCATTATCGGTGGGTAGATCAAACACTTTTTTGTGTGTTATATGATTTTAAAACAAGTCTAAGGGATTTAGATCAACTCTGTCAGCAACTCCAATACCAAAGGAAGCAGAATGTATGCAGGGTTGGGATCCAGTGACATCTAACCAGCAGCTTATGAAGAGAACCAGGAATTTCCCAGGTATGTTTTTCTCAAGGGGAAATTTTTGAGTTCTGCTATTCTACTTTCCCTTTTCCCAATACCCTTCTCTCCCAAAGGCAGTGGGAAAGAAGGGGAAATATAAATACTTTGGAAGGAGATAATGTATTAAAACACATGGGCTGGCAACATGCCTTTTCCTTCTCTCCAGCTCCCAGGGTCAGCTCCTGAAAAGTTTAAGCGCCTGTACCAGAGCAGCTAGCCTCTTCCTCTAACCCTGATGGGACTCACTAACATACCCAGCTTCCTTGCAATACATTATGCTTCCACTAAGGAGTTCCACTAAAGTTTTTCAAAAATTGCTTCTCCTACTCACCTTGTATCACTTTTTTACAGTCTTTCTGGTTCTGTTGTTCTTGAGCCCACTTCAGTCACTTTTATGTTCTATGAACACATTCTCTGATTTTAGGAGCACCCCGTATTATTATGCTTTTTTTTCCAGCTAGGTTGAAGACAAAAAGAAATAGCAAGATGTAAATTCTCTTGAGAGAGAGGACTGAGACCTCTTGGTGATGTTTTACGTATATTATGACGTTGAAACATCTGATGAAGGCCATGCCTGGAACCTGCTGCAGACTAGAGGCTTCTTTGTAATAATTAATAAAAAATTATAATTTCGTGCTTGATAGCATTTGTTGGTATTCTTCAGAGAAAACCCACCAAATGAAGAAAATGAAGGCACAAAGTAACTGCTACCAGTCATCAGACCAGGCAGGCACAATTCAGTTTCAAAATGGCTATATCAAAACCCTTTCATTTCAGGACTATCAAAATACTGAGCATTTTGTATTTTCTTTACTTTCCTAAAATTTATGGTAAAACCTAAGAAGCCTCAGCAGTGCTGTAGTTCAGGTTTTCTGTCTGACTGCCACTGGCCATGCCTGAGTTTTTACAGTTGGCCTTTTATTTCAAGGCA